AAATTACATAAAAAATAAAAACTTTTAAATTGATTTGATATTAACATTGATATATATTTTTTAAAACTTTTATGATATCTTCAAATTTATATTTTATTCAAAAATAAAATCATTATTGTTTTTTTTAAAACACATAAAATCGTATTATAACATCGACATAAACAAATAATAAAATAAAACAATAAAATCGAGATGTGTCTCGCTGCATTGCGCAAGTACTTTTATAGTAATTAATAAAAAATAATTAAATTGTCTATTGTTAATTTACTATTATAAAAATGGATGTTTTTAACATATTTTTAAAACTTGACTTGAGATCATGTGAGACCAAAGGTTTTTCGTGAGACCCGTAAGACTAATTCTCAATCCTTGGATTAGATCTACAATCTGAACATTCATTATCATAAAATTGCCACGAGACTTCTCAATAATTACAAAATTGTCACCGTGCAACTTTAGACCATCAGATCATTAGCTTATAAAGTTGATCAATGAACATAAATTAGTCTTACAGGTCTCACGTAAACCCAACCCTTTAAAACTTTATTCTTCTAAATAAATCCTATCTATCTAAATAAAATATTTCATTGGGTTTTTAATTATAGACTTTTCCTTAAACAAAATATGGTATTAAATATTCTAAATCCCATCAAATCTTAGGTACCTAAGTTTACATACCAAATGGGCATATCAATTATTAATCAAAGCATTGGAAGCTCATATTCAATACCAAAACACTAATAAATTTTCGATCAACTTTCTGGCATATATGACCATACTACAATAAATTTGGGTTTATTAAACACCCTCAATTTCTAAGTGTCCTAATAGATCGTTTTATAAAACTTAATTTATATGATCAAAATATAAAGTGTCTTATCTAAAGATGTTGTAATAAGTTTATATGACGCTTTTGGGCGTCTTAACAAGTTTTTTAGGACATTTTTAACATAGAGTGTCGCATTAGCAACTTTATAGGACACTTTTGAGAAGGTGTCCAATAAACTCAATTTATTATAGGAAATTTGTTTTTATAGGACAGTTTTTCAAATAGTGCCCCATAAAGTTGCTAATTGGACGTTTTATACTAAAAAAATGTTCTAAAAAACTTATTACGACATCAAAAAACGTCATATAAATTTATTACAATGTCTTTAGATAGGACACTTTGTTTTTTTGGTCTTATAAATTAAGTCTTATAAAGAGGTCTATTAAGACGTTTAGAATTTGAGAATGTCATATAAACCCGATTTTGTTGTAGTGCCATCAGAAATTCTAGTAGTGAATTTAGTGGATCAATGTCTCGATCGAGTGGACTCGAAGAAAATGGAGTAACCAAGTTGATGAATCACTTTAAATATTATTACTTGCATTTGCACTCCTTTAACTTTACATTTTGCAATTTTGTATGTTTAAGGGGCCGTTTACTAAATGCTTATCGGACCGGATGAACATGACAAGGGCCAAGAATCTTACCCGGTAAGAGTGATGATAAAGATGGAGAGTCTTACCCGGTAAGTGAAGGTGACGACGTCCTCTTACCCGGGTAAGCGCTTACCAGGTAAATTGTTGCATATGATACGTTTTGATGTACTACAATCTTACCCAATAAAATAAATTAGAGTGTTGACTCCTAACGTTAAGCACTTACCGGGTAAGCATTTAGGTAAACGGCCCCTAAGTGTCTCGAAATTTTTTGTGTTGTTGATAAATATTAACATCAGTTTATATCGACAGTTGAGATCGTATATCTAAAACTATCTTACAAGGGTTTTTCCACGTACCTATAAGCATTGAATAATTTTAACAGTATTCAAAATTCACAGTTCGATAAACTTTTAATCTTTATGGACAGTAAACGAAATTATTGATAAAGATACAAACTTTATTAATAAAAAGTGAATCTTTAATAATAAAGATCAAAACTTTATTGATAAACAAAAAATTAACAAGAAGACTAAAACATTAATCAAGATTGAATTTCAGTATTCCAGAAAGGTATTTCTCTGACTAGAATTTACAACACACTGGTTGATACTATTTCTTTGCGATAGACTTGATAAAGAAAGGAGTAGAAGCAGAGTGTTCACTTAATTGACAAAAAGTAAATGCAACACACAAATTAAAACCAACTCGGTAATTGTTGACAGTAGAAGCAAATTGCACTGATAAGATCCTGTACTTAAATGTTTTATAAGACTACTATGTTATACGTTGTGAGTCGCAAAGCCCCATGATTTGATACGGATGGTGTTTTAATTGTCGACAACAATGATGATAAAAATACAGCAAAGTTGATGCAGAATTTTGATGGTGTGAAGGAACTCATACGCGGTAAGAGAACAGTAGAAAGAATTCGAATCTTTCAGTTTGTGTTGGAAGAGAATTCGACACGGTATTTATACTGGAATGTGACCTGATCACATCTCCAATTCTCTTAACTTTCTCCCTTAGAGTCGGGGATATTAATGGATTGGGAGACCAAGTCTCCAACTGAAAGTTTATCTGTAGATTAATTCTAAAACCCGAGTTTAAAAATTAATTTTTTTTTTCAAAACAATTTCACAAATATCGAATTTAATTTTTCGGATAAATAACAGCTTTTGTTAATCATTAGTTATCCAATTATCTATGTAAATTCCAAGAAAAATAAATCTCAGGAGCTCGAAGGTGAGGCTCCGATGCGTCGTGCAAAGTGTGCCTACTCACGCAAATTCCGCAGCCTCAGCCATGCACACGCACGTGCATCGGACTTTCCTACAAACCCTCACTATGAATGCACCAACATTCTGAAGGCCCGTTTGAAGGGAAAAGCTTAAAAAAAACCCTTAATTATTTATATTCTTACCAATCACTAAAATTTCCAATAGGATCCTCAAAACTATTCATCAAGCGAGGCGACCAAACCAGTAAGTCATCGAGCTTTTCGACATTAGGGGTCCCTCTCTTATTACAATATAAACAACCACCATACTTTCTCAATTCGATTAATTAAATAACTAAAACCGACATATTTAAACTGCAAAGTTACCATCATCTTCAATAATCAATAGTCGATCGGTATATATAGAAATAATTTTCGGTATATAAACCATTTTTGGTCAAAATTCTTATGAACCAAAAAGAGAAAAAAAGAAAAAAAAAAGTGATAGCATCATCTCAATTATCGTCTTGTTTGGTCAAGTGGGAGGAAGGTGATTCATTGAATTGACATAAAACGTATACAAGATTAATGTGTTTCTTTTCTTATGATTGCTTTGAAAACACCCGAAATATGTTAGAATTTGGGAACAGAATATCGAAATACGTGGATAATTCAAGGATCGTGTATAAAACACTTTTTAAAATCTATGATTTCGACTCTATAACCTGGGGTACCACGAAATCAGATTTGGGATAATCCAAGATCACAAACACAGAATTCCTTGCTTGTTTATGTACCTTAAGAGACAAAAATCCGGTTGAGTAACGGCATACACCAAGATTCTCACCTTTCAATTATCGAATCGAAATCTTATATATAGCCACCGGTGTTTAAGTCGGTTATTTTGGTGGGAGTCGTGTTTGTTCCCAACAGACGCGACTGTTCGAGAGTTTGGGACCGCCACCAGGGGCTCTGCCCCTTGGAACCCCATCGGGGGCGCTGCCCGAACCCCTGCATACCTGAGATCAACTTAACTTATCCGAACGTGCACTCCACACCCCCAGACTCGAATTATAGCCAAGTCTAATTTTAATCAGCTTGTCTCACATTAATCTCGATCATACTAAATAGTTTGATGACACTAAAATCACCAACAAAATATGTCTAGAAACCATTTAATTTTAATATATATATATATATATATATATATTCTTCAAAAATTATAATAAGCTTTATTTAATTTTGTTAATTAGCATTATAAACGTTTTTATTGAAATTATTTAAAATAATCCTAAAATAAGTTCGATCAACTTCAATGCATTTTATCCAAAATAATAATTTTTTATCTCTAAAATTGTTGATTGTTACTAAGAAATTCTAATATGTATTGTATTTTTGTGAAGAATAATAATTTATCTCTTTGAAAAAAAAAAGAATTATAATATTTTTAATTTTTTGGATATTTAAAATGAAATTTGTGGTTTTTTAATGATTTTTTTATGGATTTTTATATGAAGTTAAATTTGAAAAGAGAAAAAAAAAAAACACGCAATATATTCGATCATGACAAGTCTTATCTAAAATAATGGGATATTATATTTATCGAAATTGGTTTAAATGGTAATTCAAAAGGGAAATAAGCATCGAGTTTTGTGTATCCACTTTTTCTGGTTGTCACCAAAAAATGTTGATATCAGTGTATGTTACAAACCTAATACATAACATAAACTTACAAATCAGTTTTCATGTTTAATTGGTTTGAGCTTGACTCCAAAGGTCAAAAGTACCTGGAGGTCACAGGTTCAAATCCAAGGAAGAATAAAATTTTTCTTGTGGACACGGAGGTTCAAATGCGGTGACTTCGGGCAATCTGCAAAGCAGGTGGTTGCCTTGGGATTAGTCGGCTCGCATAGCGGATTGGATATCCAGGTTAATCAACAACAAAAAAATAGATGATATCGAGTTTTTGGATAAATGAAGTTAAATCTTTGGATGCATTATGAAAGATCATATCTTTGTGAAACAACTGATTAGAAGTTGGGGTCCTATGAAATTAATTAATTTATGTTATCTGTATACAAATGGAAAAAACGTGTTATTTATTTTATATAGAAATATATTATTGATTTGTGTGGGGTCGGAACAATTATATGTGCAAAAGTTTGGTTTAATTATGCTACCTTTTGTTTCTCTCCAAAACGCACGCGCTTCAAAAAATTTGCAGCAGAAGCGAAAACGATATTAATAGAACGAAACAAGATTAAAACTTCTAGCATGCATGTACTTTCGGAGTTGCTTATAAGTTGTCGGAAAAGAGGACGAGATATCTGACATGCTTATAGAATTATTGTATATCACGTACACGCCCTGCCCTATGTTCTCATTTACCGTTAGGAGCAATTATTTGGTTATGCCATTTTGGGTTTTGCTTTATTTGAAGTGATGGGTGTTAAATCCGACGTATAATAATGGTATTCCAGTGAACACAAGATCAGTTATATTTATTAGGCGTTGGTTGTGAAATATGTTTGACTTGTACACTTTTAAGAAAAACAAACAATCTTATGGTCGTTTGAAGTGTCAATTGGTAGCTTAACAATACTAAGAATGGTAACGTATTCCTTAATTTTGACCAGCAATCCAAAGTTAGGTCGCACAAATGGAAGTGTCCTGTATATCAAGTTAAATAACCCAACACTGATGATGATATTCAACCATGATTAGCATAAACAGAAAATGAGAGAAGGAAATTGGTTAGATTCAAGACCTCAACACAGATCTAAACTTCAATTGGTTGCAATTCATTGCTAGAATGGAAATGCTACACTACACGCTCGAAGAAATGAAATATTAAGCCTACAAACTAAAAATACCTAAGGAAATGATTAAATGATGAACAAAGCTACCAAAAAACCATTTCGCTTGCTCTTATGTAAGATCCAGATTTTCCAAGATGACAAAAAAAAGGGGTTTTGAGAGAGTATTTATGCACCAAAGTGAGTAATAATTTGAAATAAAGGCTAGGGCAGAAAATAGGGCGCAGAATCCTCATATTTGATCTACAAGTCGCATATAAGTCATTTGTACTCCCCCCCCCCCCCCCAAATGACAGCCTTGCATGTAAAATCGCATCCAAGTCACGTGAGTTGTACCGAGAGTCACACAACTTTCAAGCCATGCTTGAGTCCAGATGTTGAAGAATGGTGTGCATATACGAGTGATTATCATAAAGATATTGCATTGGTTGTCCTAATGATGGTCTTTCTGATTTAATTCGTTTTAAGATAAAAATATCTCAGTCTAATAAAGCCTCCTTACTCACTTTTACGCCAAGTGAAGCTTTCATGAAGATGATTAAAAAAACAACCATTAACCGTTCTAGTCTAATGCGTTGGTGGAAAAATTACATGCGCAAAACGGAGGCCTTGGTCAATCAGTGGAAGTGAGTTGATTTTCCAAGGATAGGGAACGGGAGATGGGCCAACTTACATCAAAACTTTGTAAAGATGGAAATAGTAAGAATTGTTCTTTTAGCCACCTATCGTACAACTATAGGTAAATCAACGGTCCCCTCCTACTTGTCATGTGAGCCCCTTGAAGAAACCTACTCGTACAAAGCTTAACCAAAGAGACCCTTACCACCATAGCCATTAGGATTTAGGAGTCACAACAAGGTTTGCTCGATGTAGGGATTGAATCTGTATAATTAGCCTTCATCATGACTTATATCGAATGACATTTCAAATGAATTGGGTTTCTCGGTTTGTTTCGCATTTTGGGCTTAGTTTAGTTGTTTGGGCCAGTACTTGGGCCGGTCAGGTTCTTAATCAGTAATTCAAACCAATTTATGTGGTATTAATTTTCTTTTATTTGGTTATTACCAATAAAAAATTTAAACTATGTAAACCTTCTTTTTTGTTATAATACTTATTAGAATAATTCAAAGACATTCATATTTTTCCTCGGTCCATCTTTCATTCCATTTTCTATATTTTTGTGCATCTTTTCTCGTATTACTTTTGCATAAAATATTGTAACAAACACAGAAGAATGTTAAATAAATCTCATATAAGTTGAATCAAAACCTTAAACATGCAAGTATGTGGGTGTGATTTCTAGAAAAATAGTTTAGTTATCGTCTACTCACCACTTACTCCATAAGCGTTTGTCGAGAAAAGTCAACACCTTCACTTAATTCTCCGAGTAAGAATTTAGTACATTAAAATGACATCGTATACAATAATTTATCTAGTAAGCTTTTACTGGGTAAAAGTCATTACTCTCATTTACCGCTCTTGATCTTTGTCATCGCTCTTATCGAGTAAGATTCTCAATCATTGTCATGTTAAGGTAAAATGACCTTATAAGCACTTATTAGATAAGCGCTTAATAAACAACTCCTTAACCTACTGAATTAGATATTACATTAAAGAAAATGAATAAGTATCGAAAACAACATTTTTTGTCATATAATTATATTGTACAAGATATAAATGGCTGATGATAGTTTACTTTAATTTTTCTCTTTGGAAAAAGGGTTTCACATGTAACATGAGACATGTATATCTATGATCTAGAAAAAGGTTACGGTGAAACCCGACCTTAAAGAAGTTGAAGAAGAGAAGAGCGTAAACTTGAAGAAACCGCATGCCAACCTCGTTGCGAAGGGTGTATCATGTCCCAGAAAAACGAGTCATTAGGGTTTCCACAAACACTATATTTCAATATCTTTGTATCCTTTTCGACGTTTCCACACGAGTATTCTTTGCTAACACCTTGACAACACGGTTTTAGTAACATCTCCAACTTTGAATTCCCTACAAACAAACATCACATATTTTTCATATCCAATTCTCTTCATTTTTTAAAGCTTATCATTACATACATTTAAACAGGTGAGCTCCTACCTTTTTGCAACATATTAATTAGTTGTGGATGGACATTTGGATTGGCCATAACATACCCAACTGAATAAAGACCCATCTATGACATTATCCGTTTGGATTCCGGACCATGGGTCCTTTTTTGTAGCAAATGTTATGAGTTTGTACCGGTTTTTACTCGGACCGGATAAAGCCTGAAGCGGAGACCAGAGTCGATAAAGACCGGTCCGCTTTTTTTCTAATTTTGTAATTTGTTTCCATTTTTTATAAACAAACGAACCATACCAGACCTTTTTTTTATATTGGACCACACTAAGCCCCTGTTTGTTAGCACTTTAATGAGCTTAATGGGATTCACAGCTTATTCAGTCAACTATACATAAATGTTTGATAGTGACTTAGGATATAGAAAGTGGTTTATTCATGGGAAGCTTTATGCAGAAAGCCAAATTTTTCCTAAACTTGCCCCCTCCCCCGATTAAGAAACACGTTCTTTCCATCTATGAAGCAACTCTCTCAAACAAAAATATTTTCAATCTATACAGATAGATTAATCTACACATTGAGTTTTATCCATACAAGACTTAACGGAAAACCAACCATACGAGCCCCTAAGAAGCCAAACTGGACCGGACCGGTCCAAACCATGACAAAGCACCAGTGAGATTTGGTTTCAGTCTAAGGGGCCGTTCACTAAACGTTTACCCGGAAAGTGTTTACCAGGTAACTTTCCTTACCGGATGAACATGACAAGGGTCAAAAATCTAACCCAGTAAAAACAATGATAAAGATGAAGAGTCTTACTCGGTAAGTGAGAGTGACGACTCTTACAAGTAAATTGTTGCATACAATACCATTTTGATGTACTACAATCTTACCCGGTAAAATAAATTTCATTGTTGACTCGTAATGATAAACGCTTACCTAGTAAGCATTTAGGTAAACAACCTACTAGTCGGTGGTCATTTTTCTTCCGACCGCGTTGACCAAACCATTTTGAGATTGGCCCATATGCAACTTATGTATTTAACATCAAAACTACTACCACCATCTCTCGAAAAATTCATGATGGGTGTCAGAAATTCGTATAAATTTACGTACCAGTCGAAAGGTTTTGTCGTAGGTTCAGAGCAATCAAGAAAGCTTTGTAGAGATCCAGGATTACAAAGAGCGATTTACCATCGCTCTCGTTGTTTAGCTTTCTAACGCTTTCCACAAGCACTTGGTTATGGAACTCCGCTATCGAGTTCTCAGTGTTACTACACTTTTGATACGACTTAAAAACCGTGAATTGTGGCAAACACCCGAGTGGTTCCATTGTAGTGATCCCTATCTTCCGAACTCCCAATTCATGTATACGCTTCAAATTCGAAACCAATTGGCTAATTACTGACTTCGTTAAACCTGACAAATCCTACAACAACAATTAAACAGAAACGATATAATTGGGAACAGCCTCTCTGTCTCATTTTTTATAAGATCTGCGTATATCTTACTCTTAGCTGCATGTGGGATTTGCTGGTCAGTTTGGTTTAGTTTAAGAAATGATGTGATTGATACCTTGAGGGTGTGATTTGATGTGAAGTAAGTTGCATAGTCATTGCCTGCTAGAGAGAGTATGGCAATGGAGGATGCATGAAGCAGATCTTGTTTCTGTTGAATAAGTTGTTGAAAATAGTTGATTTGTGTGGTCATGTTTGGTTGATTCACCAGTGTATTGAAGACACCTGTCCCTCCATATGCAAAATTCATCCCATACCTTATCGATTTTTTCTCACCAGATTTCCAACCTCCATATGTTATCGGAGATTTTGTCCCCAATATTCCAGCTACATTTCAAATAATGGGAAAAGTGATACGCAACCGATAGAACAGTTAGTCGATTTGTATATGAAACAACTAGAACGAACAAAACGTAATCATCAACTTTAAATCATGAACAAATCGATTAAAATGTGGATTTGATCTGAGATATATTTTCGAGCAAAACTTGATAATTTTGATTCATCTTCGTCTGTCCAATCGGATGGAATTTCTTAACCTAACTTACAGTCAATGAGTCCGGATTCTATACTTGGATATCATGAAACTTCTACATTAATCTATGTAAGAGAGAGGTTAGATGTACCGATATAATCCGTGAGCACACGACCATCGGAAAACCTGCCGGAGGGAGTACCAGGAAAAGTGATACCATATGGTTCCTGCCATGATCCACCGTATGATTTTGGCCAATTTCCGGTATCGGCATACGAGTCTCCAAACACAAATAACTTCAAGTTAACTGGAAATCTCTCATCAGAAATGGTAACAGTTAGGGAGCTAAAGAGACAAAAGAAAACCAGACATGTATGCTTATTCATTGCAAAGAGAAAGAAAAGGGTTAAAAAGCTTCCCATTTATGGAACACATACGAATATGTGATGAAGAATCATAATATATGCACATGAATACATACATGTGTGTATGTATATATATGCATTTTGAATTTGGTTGTGGTTGTTGTTGAAGATTGATTGGCCATTATTGTTTTCTAGATTTTGGGTAAACAAATTTGGAAGGATGAAATTTTGGTTCACCAGGGTGTTTGGGATTGAAACAATCTATTTTTTTTCTATAAAAGCAATTATTAACTTATTATAAGTAGTAATGATTTAACTTTTTTTAAAATTTCTTATTACCAGTTTAACATTGATATAAGTTGTTTATACAAACATTTAAAAGTATTTATTACCGGTGTCACACCAAAATAAGTCAATAAGTTGTTTTTATAAGCAATCCCAAACACCCCCTTAAATTAGGATGCTTATAAAAAAAATTTGTTGATTTTCATCCATAAAATTGAATTATTTATTATTATTTCATGCATTTTAAAATGCATTGAGGTTTATAAAAAAGGCAAATTGAATGAAAAAATAATATACTTTAACTTGATTCCTATTTTGGATGATGTATTTTCAAAACTTCTATTTTGATATATAAGATTCAATGTTTTAACCGGTTATTATGTTGATGTGACGAATGATGTGATATCCAACTCAACATTAATTGCTGACTTGGTTAGTGACATTAATTTTTTTTAATCTAAAATCGGTCTTTAATCGATTATCCGGGTACTTAAATGTTTAAAATTTTACATCTTGCATACAGAAATGAAAGTTTTGAAAGTACGTTACCCAAAATAAAAAACAAATAAAATACGTTATTTTTTCATGCAATTTGCCTCAAAAAAATTAACAATAAAATTAATGTTAAAATCTGTAAATATAGATCCGTTTTAGTTGATTTTTTTTTTTTAAATTGACTTTTAATTTACTATTTTATAAAAATTATAGAAAACCTGTTTAAATGGTCTAAAAGAATTTTTATAAAAATTATTAGATTTTCAAATTCACCATCACTGATACCTATTCTTGCAACATTGAAGACGATATATTTGATTACAAAATACTTGACGGTTAAAACATCAAAATATTAACTTTATTATTAAAATATAGGAAAAAGTTTATAAAAATTCAGTAAAGTATTTTTGAATGATTAAATCTTTAAATTATTTTTATGAATAAAATTTCATTAAATTTTTTAATTTAAATGATTTAGTTTCTGAATAATTTTTTGGTTTAAATGGTGTTACTAACTAGTTTTTAAAAGTTGGATGGTTTAATTTATTGAAAAAAAAATGTTCAGGAACTTTATAATTCAAAATGAGAAAGTTTAATGGTTTTTTATTTAAAAAAATTCAAGAACTTAAGAAGATATATGAACCCTTAATCACTTTTAATCTCAAACTCACTCATGAATCGTGTTTGACACGGGGATTAATCTGGTGCATCTCATTCTAATATGCATTCAATGATGGAGATCCTTTCTTACGTTTCTTACCTTAACTCTCCATCTTACAGGAGCCCAACCTGGAGACTTTATCATTCAAAACGAGAAAATTTAATTGTCTTTCATCCAAAAAAATAGTTCAATAATTTAATAATTCAAAACGGGATAGGTCGTTTGGTTCTTCTAAACTTTTCCCTAAAATATAAAATAAAACACTGAATTTAGAGGCAGGTTTCACCGTGAGTGAAAAAAGGGAAGGGGCAGTGATGTCATAAGGAGGAGCGGAATAGGTTGGGAGTCATAGGCAGACGGATTCCGTGGCGGCATAGTCTTTGGGGGAGAGGGACCAGCCACCATAAGGGTAGGGGGGTCGTTTGGAGGGGGGAGGCATTGTGACTTTTGATTGTCGATAAGTTTATATTTATCATCCCTATTTCTTATATTGATTGAAATTTTAGTCATCTGAATGTTAACCGATGAGCAGCCCTAGTTTTATCGTTATATGAGTTATAAACCCTTTTTTTTTCTTTATTAATTGTTGTGAAAGATATTATTTTTAAATTCAACATCAATATAAATAAAGTTATTTGGCCTTGCATCATAACATATTGTGTTCACATTTTCTACGCTAAATAGTATTTATATATATAGCAGGGGTAAAATGGTCCACAACCCTATTGCAAATTACGAAAATGCCATTGCCAATGTTTAGCAAACTATCGGTTGATCCTATTGACAAACACGACCGTTAGACAAACGGTTAAACCTCGTAAATATGTCTAATGTAACTGTTGCTACATGATTGGTTTGCGCTACTAACACCATCCTTTCTATAAAAATACCTAACAAGATATGAATCAAATATTTGAGACTGTTCCACTTCAAGACACGTGCATCACCGTGTGGGTCTTGGACCCCCTCTACCGAACCTCGGTGGTGTCGGTTTGGCAACATCGACGACTATCATCCAACCATTTATGATCTGTATGCATAAAAAAGGAATCGAAGATAAAAATTTGCTTTAAATAATAGTGTCTACCAAAGGGTCATTAGCCCGGCAATACCCGGGTTACAGATAGATCTCAAAAAATGAATTCAGTTATTAGGATGTTCCTAGTTTTTCATTTTTTTTACGGTTTTCCCAGAACCTTACCCTATATATATATATACACACACACTTCAATTAAATCATTAGGTCGAACTAAACAATGGATGGTGTAAAAATAGCAAGGGCCAAGGGCTCGTGTTTTATGGTTGTTACCTTGCCATTCATTTCTCGGAGAGCAGCACTTGCAGCTTCCTCAGTAGTGTACTCGATGAAGGCAAAACCTTTCGACCTTTTGGAGATCTTGTCCATTATGATTTTAACTGTAATGTAGAATTACCAATTGGATTGGTATGGATATAAATATAACCAAGTGTTCATGGAGATAACAAAACGACACTGATACCTTCGACAAGCTCTCCAAAACCTTCAAATGCAGCACGTAAAGTTTTCTCGGATGTATAAAATGACAAACCTGCCGATAAATTCACATACGTTACGACCAATAAATTTGAAGAAATCTTTGTGGGAGCCCCTTCATAGTCGCGATTAACCAAACTACACGAGCCTAGTATATCCCATCTAAAGGTGGGGTCTGGAAGTGGGATGTATGCAGACATGTTCTTTACCCCTACAGAGTAGAGCAGCTAAATTTGCAGTTCTTGATTACGGGGCGGGGGTGAAGGGGGGGTTTACATGCAACCGAGGCAAAGTTTTGTTTTTATTATGGAGGTGTCGACTTCAAGAAGACCGAAATAAGCCCATAATCTAAAAGAAGGATACTACATCGTTTAAAATATGCAACATACCGGTTACAAAGAGTTTCTTCGTTTTGATATTGGTTGGTTGATTCGTCCCTGTGGAGGAAACCCCTGAATCATTAGAATGCCGAAGAATGTAACCTTAACAGCAACTGATGTAACGCGTAAAAAGCTTATCGGATTTTCAAAATGCAAAGCAGAGACAAAATTCGGAGGAAATGCACTTGAAGGAGTAGAACATCTACTAAACGATCAAGTAATCTTCTACCATAAAAGTCATGGGCACCATTAAGGCCACCGGGTATTTTCCTGGCTGTTTCCATCGGACCCCATGAGATTAGTCGAGGTGAGTGCAGGCTGACCGGTCACCCATGGTTATAAAAAAAATGCTTCCTTCTAGCTAGGGGTCTACAGAAGATGAATCCGCTCCTGAGCCTATGCCGAGCACTTGCCTAGCCAGCTTGTTAGAATATCTAATCTAAGCCAAGCTCCAGGCTAATATGGTTTGGGCTCAAAAGCTCAGGGACCCTAATGAGCCGAACCAACCTAGCTCAGACAACCTTGCTAGACACTATATGTACTTTATTTTTATTCAACCAAATAGTGTAAAAATCAAATCAAACGTATCCCATATATCCCATCTGGAGGTAGCTTGCCTATAACCGTAAGAATAGAGCAACCATGTCTACGAAGACCCCCGGGTTTCATAAATCAATAACTTATATGTTTTTTTTAAGTACTAGAAGGGTACTCGCACAATGCCGCGAGATAAATCTTCATTTTAATATTTCGTTTTATTTTTTGTCTCTATTGATATAATTCTGAAGACATCATAAAAATTTGAAAAATTATATCGATATTAATATCAAATTAACTATTTAAAAATTCTCGTTTTTTGTACAATTTCTTTAATTCAATTTTTTATTATAATTTAATTTAGGTCAAATAGTGAAGTAATTAATTTTTGGCTTAACAATAAATTTTTTATAAAAATAATGATTCTGTTAGAACTCAATGATTATCCTGATTATATTTTAGATTTTTTTAGATTTAAAATGAAATGTTTATCCTGTATTTGATTATGTTTATCTGCAGTTAATTATACGAATTCAAAAATGGAGCTTTAATAAGTTGTACTTACGCACAATTTACTTGTAATCTTAAATTTTAAGTAATCTATACTTATATTATAAAGCATTTGACAAAAACTCTTAAAAACTATTTTTTATACATAAAGTACGGTTTATTGATACATATTACTTAAAATTCAAAATTACAAGTAAATAATACATATGTACAACTTATTAAAGTTTCATGCTTGAATTCATATAACTAACTGCAGATAAACATAATCAAATATTGGATAAATCTTTCATTTTAAATATAAATAATCTAAAATATGATTAGGATAATCATTGTGTTCTAACAGAATGCTTAATTATTATCTTTATAAAAAATTATATTATCTATACTATATTATAAAACATTTGACAAAAACTCTTAAAAACCATTTTTTATGAACGCAGTACTGTTTATTGATGCATATTACTTAAAATTTAAGATTATAAGTAAATTGTGCATAAGTACAACTTATTAAAACTCCATATTTGAATTCGTGTAACTAACTGTAAATAAACATAATCAAATATTGGATAAATATCTCATTTTAAATATAAAAAATCTAAAATATAATTAGGATAATCATTAAGTTCTAACAGAATATTTAGTTATTAACTTTATAAAAAATTATATTATTAAACCAAAAATTATAATATATTATTTTTTCAAAATTTTATGATATTTTAAAATTTATATTTTATTCAAAAATAAAAACATTATCGTTTTCTCAAAATCACATAAAACCGTATTATATCGACATAAAAAAAGGGAATAAAACGAAACAATGAAATCAAGATGTGTCTCGATGCATTGCACGAGTACCCTTCTAGTATGCATTAATACACAGTACTTCATGCATAAAGAATGATTTTTAAGAGTTTTTGTCAAATGCTTTATGATATAGTATAGATATGATATTTATGTACGACAAATTAAACTCACACAACCAAAGGGTCTTTGGTCTAGCAGTATCGTAACCCTTGGCCTCCTAGGAGGTCAGGGGTTCAAACCTCACCATAGGTGAGAAGGGTGCATGAGTTTATTTGTTGCATTTGTCGTATATAAATATTATATACTTCAAAAAAAACAATTAAACTCGCACATACTTCTGAAACTTGGCGAGATTTGAACCCTTGACCTTAGGAAGGTGGGGTGACCAGGTACAACCAGCCCAATGGCCCTTTGGTCAATAACTTATATATTACTTAATCAACTATCACATCATAACATCAAGAAAATAGCATCCCAACAAAATCATAATGAAATATATCAGGCAATCATTATGAGAAAAGCAACACATTGATAGTAAATAAGTAATACTTATTTGGTAAACATGTTAAGGTACCTCCGTAATCTTTATCATCTGAATCGACATTCTCATCCAGCCTAACAGATGTAACACCAGGAACACCTGCACCCAACTTCTGATTTACAAAAAGATAGAAACAAGTAGTGTGATTTTGTAGCACTCTCGTGCACCAAGGCTATGTAACTTTGCAACGATTGAGGACCAAAGTCTCTATACAGTCTTTTTCTTGCATTTTGCAAAGAGGTCGTTTCTTCATTTGAAACTGTGACCTTCTGGTCACACACCCCTCGAACATTTGGTGAGGCCTGAACCCTTAACCTCAAGGAGGTTGGGATATACAGGTAACCCGGATTGCGCTGGGCCAGTTACCCTTTGGTCAAATGAGCTCTACGGCTCACCTAGGTCCTATAGATGAAGTTATAACATAAATTACCGGCTAATTCCTTTGCACACTCATCATCTAGTTCACAACAGAATCCGTAGTGGGATTGCAAGGAAATGTGATATATGCACATTTGGGCATCCTTCTCGCTGTTTAAGTAAAATCGAAACTAAGATTAAAAGGGCATAGAAAGCAAAAAGGGTTTCAGTTTATGAGGAATAAAGAACTACAACAAATTTGAGAAAAATGAAAACACAGTTGATAGTATAAAAACACCTACTTCTCCAAAACCTTGGTTAGCATTTGGGTATAATAATCAACCAATTGCACCCTGGTGATGACTCTGGATTCTGGCATCTCTACACTAACAAGCCAGTGCTTCGAACTTTTCTTGGGAAACAATGGAGGGAAAATGTTATTATATGAACCCGATTCAACCTTCGTGTTGCTATAACCCTTTTGTACAGAGTTGAAATCTGGATCGGGTTTAATTGATAATACCTCCGGCAAGCCTATGATTCAAACACAAATAAGCAAATGTTATCCACCTTAATAACAACTCTCAAGACTCCATTTAAACACCTCATTTAAAACAAAAGGTGTTCTTCAAATTGATATAAAAATGCAACATTTTCCAATTGCAATTTTGTTTGAATGAGATTAGGAAAGTGGGTACATGCTAGTTCTTGAGAAGTTTCTTTGTCCATATCACAGCAGAACCTGAAAGGGGGATCACAAGAAGCATTGTATATACAGCCTTGAGCCTCCTTCTCACTGTTCAATTTAAACCAAAAATCAAAACAAAAATTGGTCAAAATTTTGTGAAAGATAGCAAAACTGAGTAAATTTATCAAACAGTGAACATAATCAGATAAAGATTAGAATCCAATTTCATATATAACAAGCCCTAATTCTAAGATTGTTACAGGAATAATTACTAATTGAAGTTCACACACTCGATTATTCCATTGCGAACGTAAAACTAACGTCGAAATTCTAAGATTCACATAAATTTTGAAACCCTTTTGACATTAAAAGCCAAAATATATCTCCATATTCGAAAGGGGGATGATAAGTTTTATAGAACATACCCACCTGCCCAAAACTCTCTCCAAAATTTTGACATAATAATCAATAACACCTTGTCTAGAAGCAGCCTGTTGCGGAAGGGGTGCCTTAACGACCACAATCCAATAACGTTGAACATTCGATTCAGCTAACGGTGGAGCAGTAACAGCCAAGCTTGAATTCGTTGCTGCTGCTGCTGCACATGTTCTTCCTGATTTAAAACAGGTGATTGCGGTTAGGGTAATGATGTTCTTCTGCTTCAATTCCGATAAGGGTTTGCATAATTTGAAGTTAAATTGGAGAGAACGAGGGGTTTCAGATGAGGGTAGGAAAGGTATGATTGAATAATTTTGAGGGGTTGTGTGAAGGGATGAAGATAGAGCAGGAGCCATGGATGATGGCATGAGGATTTTTCCTAAGTTTTGGGGGGTTTTCTCTTTGATTCTTTTCTTCTTTAGGCCCCTCTATTCCTTTTAAATTACAAAAGTTGATTTAAGTTTTCTTCCATAAATCCATGGAAAATTGTAAAGATCATGCTCAAAAGAGATGAAGTGGAAATCTACCATCTTTGAGATTGAATTCAGTTATTGTCAAAGTTTTTATGGGATGGATGTCACATGTGATGAATCGATTACTTCAGGTCATTTGTGGGCAAACATAAGATTAGTCGATGTGTATAAGTCGAATCTGATATCTATAATTATCCGGATTGTATTCGTGTGATACTAAGGCGTTTGGGATTGTTTATTTTAGATGTTTTTTGACTTATTTCAGTCTAGCATCGGTGATAAGCTAAATGCTAGTGTTTGCATGAGGAAAAATAAAACAGCTTATACCGGTTAAACCGGTAATAAGCAGTTTTTGATAAGTTAATCCTTCCTGACTAATGAAAAACTGTTTATTACCAATTTATCATTTTAATCTTGTTTTATTAATGTTTGTTAATTATTAATATAAATTATTAATCTTATTGATATAATTTTTTGTCAAAAATATTATTATAAATGATGAAAAATAAATTTTTACATGTTAATAAATCAAATAAGTTAATAAGCAATCTTAAACACTCCCATAAGTCAATAATATGGAAGACTGTCTTTTTTGATCATTTTACATATATAAGCAAAATTTGCCAAACATTAAAAAACAACTTATCAGCTTATTGTTTTTTGGTACCGCTATAAGCTAATCCAAACACTTTTTACAAAATTCCGGTTTGATACCACATAAGTTAATAAGCATTTTTACAAAAAAAAAAAACATAAGTTGTTTTAAATAAGCAATCATAAACACCCCCTAAGAAACATAAAATTTATTATAAACCGAAATTAAAAAAATCAATGTAATTTTTAATTAAAAAACATAATTTTTAATTGTTCTGCATACACGGATCATGTTTTTAGACAAAAATATCAGTGAATCTTAACTCATAATACCATGCATATATTTATTCGCATAAAAGACTGAAACTGTCAACTTGACACTGATTCAACAAGAGATGGACTAACGGTATTAATGCAAAAGAAATAAAACATGCATATTTTTCATTTATCTTGTCAATGAAACAAGGTTACATGCTACATTTTAAAATTGTCTACAACTGAAATACTTCATTTAGAGGAATGTTTTGACAATCGTCTTTTCAACATTTTATTTACTAGTCTTCTAGAACAACAATATCACTCTACCTTCAAAGAGATCTTAGCTGTCAAAAGGAGAATAGAAAGATTCTAATTCCATCTAATCGGTCATGACTAGGGGTGAACAAAAAACCGCCAACCCGCAAAACCCGCCCAACCCGAACCGCTAACAACCCCGATTAAACCCAAACCGCCAAACCGCTAAACCGCCAAACCGCTAACCGCCAAACCGCTAATTAGAAGGGTTGAAATTGGGTTGGCATAACGTAACCCAACCCAAACCGCCAACCCGCCGCAAATGTATATTTTTTTATAAAATTATGTATATATATATATATATACATATATATATATGTAATATTTATAAAAATGAAAGATGTGTTGTGAYTTGTGAATTTGGTTTAACACTTTAGCCCAATAATCTCTTGCAATAATCCTTAGGCTTAGCCCAAGTGCCCAACAAGCCAACAGGCCAACAAAAATGGAATAACAATTAAACAAAATTACAAACCCTAGTCCTACTCCCCCTTCACGGCTTCACTATCACTGGTACACCACTACACCACTTCACCCTCGCTTACTCCTACTCGCTACTTAGAATTTAGAAACAGTCACCAAATCGGCAAATCCTCAATTCCTCATCACCGTCGCTACTTCTTCTCCATCGCCGTCATCCCTACTTCTTCTCCATCGCCTCGTCCGTCCTTCGCCATCGTCCTTTCGTGGCCGTCATCCTCCATCGCCGTCGTTCTCCTCCATCTCCGTCGTTCTCCTTCACGACCACGTAAGCATCTAAGCAACCTTCTTTTTCTGCTTTTCACTTTTTTTGTTATTTATTGACTATTGTTTTGAGTTGTAAATGGTTGTGTTGTTCATGCTATGTAGAGGAAGTTGTTCATTGTTCATTGTTCAATATAATTGCAATATTAATTTAAGAGTAGTGTTAAATTTAACTGTTCATTAGAAATTTGGAATTTAACAGTTCACGTTTTTTTTGTTATTTATTGACTATTTTGTTGGTATACTTTTAGTATTATTTATCATATTTCATTTAACAATTTTATGAGTTTTAGTAACCCGCCAACCCAACCCAACCCGCCCTAACCCGCAAGGGTTGGGTTGGGTTGGGTTATACTTTTGAATGGGTTGGGTTGGGTTGAAATTTTTCAAACCGCCGTAATTGGGTTGGGTTGAAAAAACGTCATAAACCGCCCAACCCAACCCGTGTTCACCCCTAGTCATGACTTTCAGATTGAAATGGATATGTCTTTTGGAACATCATATATCCCTAAATGGACAAATTCGAAGGCAAAACATACATCAAAATGTTACCGTAGCTATATCTATTTCCATAACGCTAATCGTATATACATCCCTTAAAAAGTGATGATATAATGGCCACTATCACATTAAAGTAACTAGTACCCATCTAGCGACCTTACATAGACGTAAGGAAAAGTATGTCTTGATTAATCAACCATGATATAATTACAACTTAATCATTAAGTTACATAATATAAAAAACAATATGCAACAAATATCATACTATTCAATATACTAACAAACAATTGTTATATTCCTTGAGGTAAAAATTAGGTATGCAAACCATAAGGGTGGTGTCTGATTGGTTTAAGCTTAGTTTTAAAGGTCAAAAGTACCAATAGATCCCAAGTTCAAATCCAAGGAGGAATAAAAATCTCATTGTGGCCACAGAGGTTCAAATGCGGTGATTCCAGGCTATCTGCAAAGCAGGTGGTCGTCCTGGGATTAATAGGTTAATAAAAAAAATAGACATGCATACATCTCATTTTCCATAACCGATGCCCTATTTTTAAGTGAGGTATTTAAGGTTAGTTTTTGGTTTGAGTAATTGAAAAAAAAGGACCAAAATGTACATATATTTTTGTTTAAGTATAAAAAAGGCAATGTCAAAAGTAAAGCTCCTGAAGTTGTAGATCAGAGAATAGTACAAGTACCAATTGTGTCAGTCACCCTAAAACATTTTCGCTTCCCGTTCCGTTATGTTACTCGGTTGAATATCTGAAAAAGAACATGTCACCTCCGCCGTGGTTCTGGCGGCGACGTCCGTTGGTGGCACTTCGTCCGTGAATTGTAGATATTCTGCTCTATCAGAACAGCTTGCATTGTTGTAAATGGAGGCAGATTTAACCTGATCAGTGGCAGCATTATGGAGGCAAATTTGGCTAGACTTGAATTTTGCCCTAATTCAGCACCGGCAATACGAGATGTTTCTCACTTCTGCAAGCTTACGCACTCTCTAAACACTCGACAGAAGGGACAATATTTCAATTTGCAAATGAAAACGGTAATATCTTGTGCCTATCATAACAATGGCAGTTATTGATGATTTTAATCACCACAATCGTCCCCTCAAGCATTCGAATTATGAACAGGTAACTGATATGTCTACTTTTGTGGATAAGTAATTGTGCATAATCCTTGTTTTAGCACGTGAATTTAATCATAGGATGTAGGTGATCGTAGCGCGTAACCAATAGTATCAGCTGTAACCTGTAAATTCAAGGACAAGATCCTACGGTTTGAGCTTGGCTCCAAAGGTCAAAAATGTTAGGAGGTCCCAGGTTCAAATCCAAGCAGGAACAAACACGGAGGTTCAAATGCGGTGACTCCGGCCTACTTGCAAAGCAGTTGGTTGCCCTAGGATTAGTTGGCTCACATAGCGGGTTGGATATCCAGGTTAATAAAAAAAAAATAGTATCAGCTGTAAATTCAAGGACAAGATCAATTAATCTGGTTCAGATTATGCAGTGAGCATGATAGAGCAGGAGGGCAGTATGTTCCACCCCATAAATGCGGAGAAATGAACTTAGAAATAGAGACACAGTAGTAATGATTTGTAGGAGGGAAGTCAATGAAAAAAATATTTAGTTACTAACGGTTGTACTATCATAACAAGAGACGAAGCATTGTCCTTTTCACGTTTAACTGGAGTAGGGTTCTCTGAAAAATAGGATAGAATGATAATTACAGTAGAAACAAACCCTAGGGGGTTAAGTGTCATGACCGTAAAAGTCGGGATGCATTTTGGCCCTCTAATATATTCAGACTGTTTTGTGCAAAATTTTATTTTTAAAGAAGAAGGAATAGTTGTGATAGTCGACATTTGACAAGTAAACCAATAAAAAATCTACCAGCTCCCATGGCCAGCAAGTCAACTAGTTGACCCTTCAGCAACTCTCTTCCACAGATCATTTTCCAAATTCCAAATGCAATCTTGAGATCAATTCCTTGAGTTGCTGCTGCACTCTTTGTTGCAAGGTTCTTCATCCTCTCATCTTCCTTATGCTTATCTTTTTCTTATGCCATATTGCCTGCTCTATGTTGTACAGTATTGTTGCACCCGTGTTCTTGATTATCATACAGACCCATATGCAAGATTAGCTGGCTATACATCTGTAACGATAAAATTGAAGAATGGCTGCCGATTTAATTGTTGCTATTGCTGTAAAGATAGGAGAATTTGTATTTGAACCTTTTGGGAAATCGTTCAGTTACCTGTATCATTACAGCAAGAACATTACTTCTTTCCAATCTCGAGTTCTGGCTTTAGAGAATTGTAGGATTGAGATCCAAGGTTTAGTTAGTGAGGCAAAGAGAAATGGAGAACATGTTCTACCTCAAGTTGCAGCATGGCTAACAGCTGCAGATGGGTTTGTCGATGAATCAAGAAAGTTTCTCGAGGACCATCAAAGTATCCCATCATGTACCAACTTAGTTTCACGCTACAGGACTAGTAAGATAGCAAAAAATAGGGTATTGGCTGTTAATAAGCTTCTGGGAGATGGCAAGTTTGACCGTGTTTCTCGACAAGTTCCTCCACCACTGTGGTCTGCCTCTACAGGTAATCTGGAGACTTTTGACTCAAGGAACTTAACGTTTAAAGCCATCATGGAAGCACTCAAAGATGATAACATCAGTGTTATTGGGGTGTATGGTATGGGGGGTGTTGGTAAGACGACTCTTGTGAAAGAAGTTGCTAAGCAAGCTAGTGAAGACAAACTGTTTGATGAAATGGTGATATCAGTCATCTCTCAAACCATAACTGTGAGGAGGATTCAAGGTGAAATCGCTGACAAGTTGGGACTGAAACTTGAGCAGGAGAGTGAATCTGGAAGAGCCACCCGATTATGTGAAAGGCTGAAGCAATCAACAAGGGTGCTTTTGATACTAGATGATGTTTGGAGACTACTAGATCTGGAGGCTATTGGGATACCACACAATGAGGTACATAAGGGTTGCAAATTGTTGTTGACATCGCGGAGCAAAGATGTGTGCAATGAGATAAATGCTCAAGTATGTGTCCCTGTAAATGTCTTATCTAAAGTGGATGCTTGGAAGTTATTTAGCAAGATGGCAAGCATTACCCATGGTAGTTCTGATATACATCTTCTAGCAACTAAGGTAGCGGAAAGATGTGCAGGCTTACCAATTGCAATTGTAACTGTTGCACGTGCTCTCAGAGGCAAGAGTAAACATGCTTGGAGTGATGCGCTTCGTCAGTTGCAACACCCTCCTTCAAAGAACATCAAAGGCATGCAGAAATACGTGTACTCCTCTCTTGAATTGAGTTACAATTTTTTGGAAACAGATGAAAGTAAGTCTTGCTTTTTGCTTTGTAGTTTATTCAAAGAAGATGTGGAGATTCCTGTTGAAACTTTGGTTAGATATGCGATGGGGTTAAGGTTGTTTCAGAATGTTTATCAATTAGAAGCTGCAAGAGACAGGACATATGCCGTAGTCGAGGGCCTGAAAGCTTGTTGCTTGCTTTTGGATGGTAAAGGCGAGGAGTATGTTAGGATGCATGATGTCATTCGGGATTTTGCTATTTTGGTTGCATCTAGTGGTGAAAATATGTCTTTGGTGAGACATGATGCACAATCCTTTGGAAGTCCTGAAGGTGAACCTCTCAACCCTTTTGCTGCAATCTCACTTGCATCAACTAGCATTACCGAACTTCCCAGTGGCCTGGATTGTCCAAAACTTGAGATTCTGCTATTACAGTTTCACTCTGATTCAATTAAAGTTCCTAGTAAGTTCTTTGAAGGGATGAAAGAACTTAAAGTTCTAACCATGAGTGACATGCCCATTTTGTCTTTACCTTCATCGATTAGATCTTTATGGAAAATGCGGACATTGTGCCTTGAGCACTGCAAGCTACGAGATATCTCATTAATCGGAGACATCACGAGCCTTCAAATTTTAAGCTTTCTAGGATCTAATGTTAAGCGGTTGCCAGAGGAAATTGGACAACTAACACAGTTGAGACTTTTAGATTTGACAGATTGTGAAGAGTTGACAACAATTCCACCCAAGGTGTTATCAAGATTGTCTTTGTTGGAAAGCTTGAATATGATGAACAGTTTTGTGAACTGGAGTGGTGAAGATAAAGACATGCAAGGAAATAACCCATCTCTCAATGAGTTGAGAATGTTGCCTTGCTTAAGATCCTTGGAAGTGAACATCCTCAATGTCAATCTCATCCCCAAAGATCTACTCTTGGAAAATTTGATCAAATTCAAGATTTATGTTGGAAGCTATTGGTTGGTTAGCCTTACCCATCGATACACAAGAGCTTTGAAACTCAGAGTTGATGAAGGTATTAGTTTACCAGACGGTCTCAGGATGATGCTGAAGCAAGCTCAATACTTGATCTTAGAATATTGTCCTCATGTCTTAAAGAATATTCTACATGACTTGAGAATGGAAGGATTTCGGAGCCTCAGGGGGTTAGAGCTATACGGTAATTGTGATATTGAATATTTAGTTGACACAATAGGATGTAAACCAGGTGATGTCTTTCCTACTTTGGAGAAGCTGGAAATAGTTTCTTTGGAAAACCTTAAAGAAATATGCCATGGCCATCTCCCTGTCAGATCGTTCTCGGCACTGCAGGAATTGGATCTAAAGTACTTGCCTGAGTTCATTTGTTTGTGGAAGGAGGACACTCATGATCACACCTGCCTTGTCAACCTAAGGACTGTCTCTGTACACACTTGTCAAAAATTGGAAATTCTTTTCCCACTGCACACAGCCACAAATACAGGATTGCTCCATGATCTGTGTATATTCAATTGTGGCATTCTCCGGGGAATATTTTCGAATGATACCACAGTTGCAGGTGACAAAAGGGAGATTGTGCTCCCTGTGTTGAATGTCCTGGAGCTTTCTCTTTTACCCCAGCTAAGGAGTTTCTACCCCAAAATGAATGAGATTTCAACTTCAGATGACAGCCTTGAGATACCTCTCTTTGGGGCTAATGTATGTGAACACACTGAATGGCTTTTTCATGCTTTCATAGTGCCTCCATCATAATACAAGCTCAAAAATCAATACATATACAGAAGTGGTATGCTTTGATTTTGGTCAAGCAAATGATTTTTTCAATGTCAAGTTTATACAAAAAATTCTTGTACTTTTTCATGTTTGTTATGATTTTGAAGTGAAAAACTAGTCTGCTTTGACCTTGAAGTCAAATTGTAAATCTTTGTTTTAAATGGAGGGGGCATTTTTAAGGTTCATAAACAACTTTGAGATGAAAAACTAGTCTGCTTTGACCTTGAAGTTAAGTTATACTTCTTTGTTTTAAATGGAGGGATAACCATTAGCTCAGGTCCGTTGAGATAGGAAAATCGATTAAATGTCTATATGATTTTTTGCAGGTAATATTTCCAGAATTGCAGGTGCTAAGACTCAGGAAACTGCCAAGAGTGAAAGCATTATGGCCCCTACAAGTGCCTGAAGAGAGCTTTGGCAGATTAAAAGTTCTAAGGATCACAAGGTGCAATGCAATCTCAAAGTTGATCCCATTTAATATGTTGCAGAGATTAAAGAACTTCGAAAGTCTTTCCATCATTAACTGTGATATGGTTGAGGAGATTTTTGAACTTGATGGTCTAGTAAATGTTGATGAAACTACTGCATTAGTAAATTTTCCTCCACTGAAAGAACTAGTTCTATGTGGCTTATCTGAATTGAAGCATTTGTGGTGGAACGAGGGTTCCTTTGGATATGTTAGCTTGCAGTTTTTAAGTTTGCTGACCATTACCAGATGTGATAGTTTGACACGTATTTTCTCTCTATCAGCATTGAAAGGTCTCGTTCAACTTCAACGCCTAGAAATAGAATCGTGTGCATTGGTTAAGGAGATTGTTTCTTTTGAGAGAGGAGAGGGCAGCAACATGGTTGTTTTTCCGCATTTACACACTCTTCGGCTTAACCATCTGCCAGACCTTACAAGTTTCTACAAAGATCACAAACCTTTAGATTGGCCATCTTTGAAGATCCTGAATATTGCGAATTGTCCCAATATGAAAACTTTTCCTGCTTCTGAACTTGAACAAATTGTAGATCAAGCGGGTAACCTTTGTTCTACAATACAGCCCCTTTTTAATGAGAAGGTATGTTCTCTTTCAACATTTATGCTCTCGTCATAATAGCTGGCTCCTTTGATCTGATGATAATTCACAAGAAACAGTTCTGGGAACAATCCTTGGAGCAACTATTACAGTCACACCTTTGTGGCAGGAAGGTCATGGGTTTAAGTCACATGAACAGCCTCTTTGCCAAGGGAAAGACTGCAGACAATACTCCCCAACCCTCACAACTACTCGTTGTAATTTTTTTGGCTTTAGCCAAGGCTGTTTCTAGATTCCCAGAAATTACTTTTGATACATCTCTCCCCCAAAATCATACCCCCTAAATCATACAACTCACTCTCCTGTAAATTTAAACGACATAACCTTCATAATTAGCTTTTTGTGTTCTGAATATGTTTATAAGTTCCCAATATGGACGGATTTAAGCAGGATTGCAGAATAATATATATCTGAAGTAAAATACACAATTACTCTTAGTTTGGACATGGAAACGATGAACTAGGAGCACAGTTTGGACATGGAAACAATGAACTAGTAGCACTTATACAGTTGACTCCTCTCAACTCTCATTTATAAGTATTGGGACTTCAGAGATATGTACAAGTTCCTTTTTTTCTCAATCTTGACATAGTTTTTTTCTGAGCAAATCTTTTGTTTAGTAAGGTTACTTCTTTGTAACTGGATGGTCATAGCATCACATAGATGTCCTTTTTTTGCAAAATGCAAGGAATACTCCATATAAATACTTCTCTCCGCACCTCTGTGTGGTTGGCCTTAAAAGTCTATTTTCAATTGTAGGAGATTTTGATCATCTAACATGATGAGAATGAATTGTACAGGTTGCATTTCCTAATACAGAAGAGTTGCACATACAGTACATGGATAACCTGGTTGAGGTATGGGATCACCTACTACCAGATCAGACCTTCTCCAGTCTACAAGTCCTGAATGTGAGAGGGTGTGAAAAGCTAATTCATGTTGGCTCAACCCATATGTTGGCAAGGCTACAAATGCTCAGTAAACTCTACATAGAAGATTGTGGTTCAGTTGAGGAGATCTTTGTCACTGAGCACAATGTAAATCAAGATGACACCATTGTGTCACTCTTCAGCTTGACAGAATTGAGATTAAAGAGTCTACCTGAATTGAAGCATATATGGTGGAACACGGATTCACGATGTGGGGCCCTTCACTTTCAGAACCTAAGTTCACTTGAAGTTTCTGGTTGTGCCCATCTCAAATATATACTCTCAACTTCCATCACCAAAGGGCTAGTACAACTCCAAGAACTTAAAGTAAATTTATGTGAGCTGGTTGAAGAGATTGTCTCGAATGACATCTCTGTGGAAGACCAAGTTGAAGTGGTAGTCTTTCCTCGGTTGAGAACTCTTGAACTTAAGAATTTGCCAAATCTCAAGAGTTTTTGCTCTATAAATGGTATGTTGCAATTGCCATCCCTTCGAGCACTGAAAGTAATGGACTGCCCCAAGACGAGGACATTTGCTTCCAATCTAACTCGGAGTAATCTTATATTGGAAAATGTATCAGAAGAATTGTTAGAAAATCACTTCCCTATCATAACCGAACCCTTCTTCAATGGAGAGGTATGTACTCCATATTTGCATGTGTTTACTACTGTGGCTTGCTAATTAGTAAAACATATTATCCTCATCTTTACAGAACTAGATATGGAAGCCATGTCTTTTTTCTTTCCACATTGGTGATTAAGTCCTATTTAATTTTTAGTTTATAGTTATTTGGTTTCAGTTCAGTTGTCTATAGTTCTTTCCTGAAGGACAACCCTCTTGCGCCAAGGCTCCTCAGCTTTGCAAGCGTGGGGAGGGAAGTCCTTGCTTGCATTTTGCAAAGATGTTGACGTGACTCCAACTTGTGACCTTCCATTAGAAAGGAGTAACCTTCATGAATCATGGTTGATCTGAGGCTCCTCCCTTGGCATTTTTTTTTCTTATTCTATTTGTATTTTATATGACAGATGCTTTTACGTATGTTGGAGAAACTAAGCATTGAAGGCCTAAGTAGCTCAAGAGGCCTATGGCATGACCAACTTCCACATGACTCCTTTCATCAACTAAAAAATTTGAAGGTAAAAAGATGCAAGAAATTGTTAAGACTTGTTCCTGAGCTAAAAAATATGGAAAAGCTTTATGTTGAAGAATGTGACTCACTTGAAGAGATTCTTGGAATTGAGCAGTCCATTTGGGGAGGTCATGAGAATCATTTGATTTGTAAGTTGAGAGATCTCAGGCTACAAAATCTACCCAAGTTGGTGGCAATATGGTGGAACAACCATTTGAATGGCATTTTGAAATACCCAAAGTTTTCTTCATTAAAAATCATCAAATGTGATGGTTTGATGAAAGTATTTTCAGTATTGGTAGTCAAGCACTTCATACATCTCGAAGAACTTTACCTAGCTAATTGCTTGATTATTCGAGAAGTGGTTGCAGAAGATGAACAGAAAGCATCTACTGGAGAGAAAGTTGTTTTCCCTCAACTTCACTCTCTAGGGCTTTTAAATCTGCCAAACCTTACGAGTTTCTGTTCGGGGGATTGTATGCTTGAATTTCCTAACTTGGAAAATCTGAACTTGGAGAAGTGTCCCAATATGAGTACTTTTTCTTTAGGGCCACCAGTCACACCAAAACTCAATGCAATAGCAGTCGAAAATGGAGAGCAACTATGGAAGATTGACCTCAATAGCACTATCAAACACTTGTTTCAGTGCCAAGGTATGTTCTAATACTAAATTTGCTAGTTCTTTTTCATATAGAGAATTATACTTCATGATGCCTTCTATTCACAAGATCTTATTTTGCCATAACATCATAGTCGGGTTGATCTAGCGTCTGATATTAATTTGATATCTGGTCATTTTTACTACTTAAAACTGTTTCAGATATCTAAAGCTACATGCTTAAGCATACTCCGTTGGTCCCAAATTAAGGACTAAACTATTATTTCACGATGTTCCTGAACAAATGCTAAATTTCTAAAACTGGATGCCAAAATTGACCATTGAAACCCTTCAATTGTAGCCCCGAGAAGGCAGTACAGTTGGGGGGTGGTATACTTGCATAGTCCGAGGGTTTGAGTCTGGCAGCTGTAGTGTGGGAGTTCCAATTTCTTTGGGGATTGGGATCCTGGCACTGGACACTTATGTCCGCCACGTGGTAGTTGTAGAACAAGAGACTTTGTCTGCGTGAATAAAGTGAGAAGTAGAGCTGAAAAAGCCAAGGCTATGAAAGTTTGCTAGGACTAATATTTCGAGACCCGATTATAGGGTAACTGGTTAGCCGTTGTGTATCTGATTTGCCTCTCACAAGATGCCCTTGGGGCGATGAGGTGTGGCCACCGGCTTGGGGGTTTCCGTTAACTTGTCGATGGCCCAATGCTCTTCACACCTGCATGTTTTCTTTATTCCAACTAATAAACCCAACTCCAATGAACTAAGAATTGGTATGGATATTATTTTCCCCAAATTAATCTCCATAAGACTCAAAAAGTGAACCATACTATTGATCTTGGGACAATAATCACTACTTGTTTCAGAAACAGATTTGGAGGTGAAGCATGATAACTTTGAAAAGTATTCTACAATTATAACTAAATTTCTGTTTATATTTTGAATTCAGAAAGTCATAGGTTTAGCTGTAAAAGTCAAACTGCAACTCCTGAAAGTATGGTTGTTAGTTTTAGAACATAATTTTATAACGATACTAGGTGTGTACTATATCTTGTTTAGTTTCAATAATGATTTTCCTTATTTAATAGATTGATACTCGGTACATCGTGAACATAATGTGATTGAGATGTGAAAAACTGTTTGATCTAGGACTCCAAGAGATGAAACAAGAAGATAGAGAATTTTCAAGAAACTTGCAGTGAAACATTTAAAGATGCATGAAGTAAAGATAAATTCAAGGAAATTTAGGAAGGTTAGGGGTCGCTTACCAAACGCTTACCAGGTAAGCGCTTACTGCCAAGAGACATCATCCTTACTTACCTTATCATGTAACATTTTTCAATCATCAAAATGGATTGTTGGTAATCATCTTAAACCCCCGATAAACGCTTACCGGGTAAGATTCATCACCTTCACTTACCGAATAAGACTCGATTTTTGCCTTCCCTCTTACTTGGTAAGATTCTCAGTCTTTATGTTCACCTGGTAAAATAATTGAACTAGTAAGTGTTTAGTAAATGGCATCTTAGTAAACCTGATTCTATTGGAAGAACTTTGAAGTAGATGGTAATATTCTGCACAAGATTTTCTTTGCAACGCCACACCAAGGATATATGAGATGGGCTCTGCAACATGTAAATGCAACTAATTAGCTCTGAGGTATTCTTTTTCATCTCTGAAAGGCTCTTCTTTGTTTGCTGGATTTAAATCTATGGTATTCCAGTTCCATCTCAAAAGTCTGTCGGTGCAAACCGCATCGTGGGGGTGCAATAAACCTATTCTGTTACGTCCCACTAAGTTGTCCCAATGGAAAGGGGGCGGAGTTTCCACAACCTATTTTGTTACTGTATTCTCACAAGAAGCTATAGATGGATGCCCCCAACTTGATATAAGTTAAAGTTTTCTAATTTAGCGGTTGTTTACGAAGTGTTTATAGCCTCTTACTAGGTAAGAGGGGAAGAAGCTTGCTTATGCTTACCCGATCAACGGGTTACCCAAAAAGATTTAGTAAACGCCCCCTATAATCCTTGGTTGAGTGCTATGTCAAGAGACCGATATCAATAAATTAAGGAAAATTTGAGAGTCGAGAGCATTGATGTTGGGTTATACTCATTGATAATCAAAGGGATTTGAATTGGGTAAGTTGTTTATGTGTGGGGCAAAAGTCATGTAAACTTGGCTTTGTCTTTTGGGTTTTACATAATTGGTACAAAAAAGCAAGTCTCAATGATTGATTTCTAAAGGAGATGCTTAAGCAACCTCCAGCTTTGTATATTGATTCTTATATATATATATATATATATATATATATATATATATATATATATATATATATATGGTTCTTTTCTAGCTTTTTATTAGTAACATATAGGAAACCATCCTTCAAAGGGAAAGAGTCAACAACTCATGATTCTTGTTTAAGTTTACAAGAAATAAAGGGGAAAGTTCAAAAACAAAATCAACAAATTATCTCATTTTGAATGATTAAGTCTCTATAAAAGAAAAAACCATTAAACTTTTTTGTTTTGATGATTAAGTCTCTAAAACTTTTTTTTTTTTTTTTGATAAATAAACCATTAAACGTCTAAAAATTGATTAGATGCATCTTTTTTTTAAATAAGCTGTCAATGATTAGGAAGGTTTTAAAATAAAAATAAATTTAAATCAGTTCTGTCGTTCACAAACTCTAAGTCATTAAAACCCCTCGTAAACAACATTATCTCTCCCTTTTGCCCCCAACGTTATCCATTATCTATATCGTCTAACACTCTGTTGGCCTTTGTCATCGATCTCTCTCTTTTTTATCTAATCCATCGTAGGAGGGAGAATCAAAAGATATTTGGTTGCAGGTAGCTAATTTGGGTTAAAAAGATGTAAGTAATCAATTTTTAGAAGTTTGATGGTTTAATTTATTGAAAAAATGTTCAGAGACATGATCATTGAAAATGGGAAAGTTTAATGGTTTTTCATTCAAAAAAATAGTTAAGAGATTTAATCATTTGCATTAAGAAAGTTTAATACTTTTTTTATTCAAAAAAGTAACTTAGAAACTTAATCATTTAAAATGAGATAGTACGTTGAGTTTTTTTGAACTTTTCAATAAAATAAAACGATTAAAATAAACTAGTTTTATTCTTTCTCAGGGCGTCACACATTGCGTCGCAGCCGACAAGCCTTCCAATAGAGATGTGTTTTGTTTAGGGCAAAATGGTGATATTGTTCCTCCATTGATCAAGAATTTCGATTTTTGGCAAGTCTCATGATCATCCAATAAGAAGAGTTTCAAGGTAACGACTTCAGGCATGGCCAGCTCCCATAGTGTGACGGGCGGTGTGTACCGACTAAACCAATGGCTATTCATGATTCCATAATTGAATCACTGGTTTTATTACGGGACAGCTCATAATGTTCATATCGATCTATTATGGCGGAGACTGGTCTCCTGATTTATTAAAAAGTTAAGATTTGTAATAAATTAGAAGTCGTGAGTTTAAATCTTGTTTTTAAGCATATCGTGTGAATTACCAGGGTGCATCATTAGAAAAACAAAACATCTTCAACAGATGATTTATAATTTTTCTAAAATAGAATATCAAAAGTCGATATATAAAAGGCACATCCAAGATCCAACCCCGTCAACTGCAGATTCCAACATTATTTATTATAACATAGTTGTTGAATAAAAAGATCTTAAAAATCTCTATTTTAACATAACAGTTAGAGATGCTCTAACAAATTTTCGACCATCAGAGGAAACACATATAGTTAAAATCATGTTAAAATAGACAGAACGCATATGTTATATGGAAATAAACGTTTAAGTCATGTTAAAATTCTAATTATATCGTCCACAAATAAACAAAATTAATTCACGAATTTGATAAGGGCAAATTGCATGGAAAAATAATATATTTTAACTTGATTCTTATTTTGGGTAACGTGGTTTCAAAACTTTCATTTTGGTACCTAAGATGTAAAGTTTTAAACATTTAAGTACTCGGGTAACCGGTTGAAGCATTAACCAGTTATCATGCTGATGTGGCAAATGATATAATATCCAACTCAATATTATTTGCTGACGTGGTTAGTGACATGTATTTTTTTTTTCTAATTCTAAAATTAGTCTTCAACCGGTTATCCAAATACTTAAATTTATAAAACTTTACATCTTATATATCAAAATAAAAGTTTTGAAAATTCATTATACAAAATAAAACTTGAATTAATATACGTTATCATGTATTATATCTTCCAATCATCTTTTTTCCTAATATTTTAATGTCACGGTTTTTTCGATAATATCCGAAATATATTTTAATGATTACAAAATAATTAAGAATTATATTTTAAAAAGATGAATTGAAATTTAAAAAGGCAAATGATGGGGATAAAAGCAAATAAAATAAACATCAATCATTGTTTTGAGAAAAAGGAAAAAAAAACATTTGCTTTAAACCCCTACCCCCACCCACCTATGTACCCCCTAAATTAGAAAAAGGAAAAAGACGTTTTTATCCTTTAAATTTTAAAAAGAGAAAATATAACATACCTACGTGATAAGTTGATATGACAAAAATGCCCCTCAAGTGAGGTGCATTGGAGGGTTAAGAAATTATTTCTTAGCAAAAGTTAGGGTTAAAGACCGGATCTGTGATGAAAACGATATTATAAAGACCCCATCTATGAATTTTAGGTTTCAAGGATTTTCATCGTAACCACATAAATTAAGGGGTCGTTTACCTAAATACTTATCTGGTAAACACTTATCCGTAAAATTCAACACAATCGCTTTACCGTGTAAGATTTTATTCACTAAAAAGCATCGTATGCAACAATTTATCCCAATAAGTGCTAACCATGGTAAGAGTCTTCGTCCTCACTTACCGGGTAAGATTCTCGATTCTTGCTTTCGTTCTTACCGGGTAAGATTTTTAGTGATTGTCATATTCATTCGGTAAAGTAAAGTGACTTGGTAAGCACTTACCCGGTAAGCATTTGGTAACCGGCACCTAAATCTGTAATTTATTTTATCAGTTAACCAACTTCTCCTACCATCTGATAAAACGAACTACATAAAAACGAACTTATTTTTTCTGTTGAGTTTACATTTTGCAAATATAATAATGTACAAAACACACATTTAAATGTTTGTAATCTAAAAAAATTTTATTTTAAAAATATAAAAACATGTTGAGTTTCGTTTATTAGGTATTAAAATAAATATTTTAAATTTAATGTATTATTTTAAAAAAAAAATTTGTAAGGGTGTCCGGGCCAAAGCCCGACTAATCCCCGGCAAATTTGGAGGCTAAACATGGCCCCACTTAAATGTCGTCAACACTCCCCTCCCAGGGCTCGAACTCGGGTTCATGACTATGCCATGCCCAAGCCTTTACCACTAGGCTGTAAGGTCTTTGAACAAAAAGTTTTAAATTTTAATTTTTGCGAGAATATATTTTTCTTGCTAGGAGTGAACAAAACGTTCAACAAATCGACAACCCTATTCAATTATAATCTGAAAATTATGTCAAATAACGTAACCTAATTTAACCCGATAACTTGTTAGTTTATAAAATCTACAAACAAAAACGAATAGCGTTAGAAATTGGTTAGGCTCGTATGAACCGACCGAACTCGAGAAATCTAATTACATATGCACCTCTAACCTCTTCGTATTCCTAATCCAGTAGTTCGGACCGACATTTCAAAATTGCATTGCTTGAATCATATATCGATCGAGCACATGTTCATTTTTTAATACTTTTTATTGTCGGGTTGGAATTTATGTAAAGACGTTTCTTTGTTCAATGTTAGACTGTAAAATTAGTATGCCGAAATGGATTTGTGTACTTAATATGACCCGTAATTGGAATTTAAGTATCTTTTAAATTCATTTCTTTTCCGAAAAAAAAAAAAATTCAACTTAGATTACGTTTTTTCTCTTGTTTTTTCTGTAATAAAATTAGAGAACTATTTTGACAGATTCCGTACTAACAAATATAAAAATAAGTTTCAGGTTGAAAAATAAAATAAATAGAGGACGCTTGAATTAGTCAAATAATAAAAAAATAAAAATCATCTAACAAATATTCTATGAATGATTATTTATATATTGCAATTAATTCTTAAATTCTCATCTTCATAATACATTGAACCTTATCAAACAAATCATATATATATATATATATATATATATATATATACTTGGGATCATGTGATACCAAGTGTTTTTTCGTGAGACCCGTGAGACCAATTATCAATCCTTGAATTAGATCTACAATCTGAACATTCATAAACGCCACGAGACTTCTCAATAATCACAAAATTGCCACCGTGCAACTTTAGATCATTAGTTTATAAAGTTGATCAATGAATATAAATTAGTTTTATAGGTCTCACGAAAAACCTTTGGTCTCACGTAAACCCAACCCATATATATGTATGTATGTATGTATGTGTATATATATATATATATATATATATATATATATTCAACAAGTTGTGAATTTTTTAGAAGTGGGTGGATTAGGTTATTGACAAAACTTAACATGTACTCTAAAAAACATATACAAGTTTCTACAAATACAATATTCATAGCTTTTATGATATCTTATCTTATCGGATAAATATGATAAAGATCAATGATATTACTAGTGAGGATGGTGACTTTTACCTAGTTAATATTTATCATGCAAGAGATGTTTATAAGAAGCCATTTTGATGACTGATAATCGAACTCAATAAGGTAGGTAAAGGTAGTGTTATAAAAGGCTCATTGTAACAATTGTCATTTGTCATGGTTCAAGACTTATGTATGGCGCCACGTTAAGCACCTATCAATGAAAATGCAGTATTTGATATTTCTCATCTTTTTAGTGTTTTACTTGTTAGCCTTTGATATATAACATACATTGAATCGTTTAATATGGTATTGACTCATTGAATAATAGTAGAAAACATAAATTTAGATATAAAATATTATATATAAAGATTTACCGTCATAAATCTTACTCTGGAAACGTTGTGTATCGTCATGGCTCTTAAGGCTTAAGGTTTGAGCTTGTCATTACATATTTATGGTACAATACACGTTATTTAGAACCTCAGATAACTATGTATACTCCTACCCAATAATTATTTACTTAACTGTAAACAATCAATGTAACTGTTTTAATCTCAACCGTTGATAAAACAAATGGATGATTAAGATTGGTTTCTAAAATAAATCAACCCTTAATTTTTATTTTAATTAACGTGGATATCCAATCCGCTATGTGAACCAACTAATCTCAAGACGACCACATGCTTTGCAAATAGCCCGGAGTCACCGTATTTTAACATCCGTAGCCACAAAGAGATTTTTATTCATCATTAGATTTGAACATTTCTAATACTTTATAATTAGTGATAATATATATATATATATATATATATATTATATATATATATAAATTGAAAAGTTTGATTAGTATCACCAACAAATGCCTTTTCTGAAATAATGGACCATAAATTTCAATAGCATTTCTTTTTCTTTTTCTTTTTCTTTTTCTTTTTAGAAAAAAAAATGAAAAACTAGTACAACTACACATTAATTCAAAGTTTTCACATGCATCGAAATAAAAATTAAAAAAAAGAGCTCCGAACCATCAGCTTGACCCGACCCAAACACCAATCAACACCCAGCTCCCCCAATTTTGACCCAAATCATCGACCGTTCGATCAACATCATCAACCAACGCCGGTGATCGTCTCAAATCTTCTCCAGTTTCGCCGCCTTCACCACCGGATTCGCCTTCGCTATCGCTTCCTTCCCCACCGTCTTGAAATCGAACGTGCAATCGTGTTTCTCCGGGTACCTGTGGGTCCCGCAGAACGTCGTCCCGCATCTACATGTGAATCCCGTGAGCCCCACGCGCTTCCTGCATGATCCGCACCGGTTCCGCTGCTGCGGTTTTCCGACGACCGACGCCATAGCCGGTTCGGCATCTGCCGGTTTGGGTACCGACTGATCCGGAAAGACCGAAACAGATACAGAAACTGCAGCGGAGGCGGAGGCGGAGGCGGAGGCGAAGGAGGAGGAAGAAGATTCCGATTCCGTTACGGCTGTTTCCGATTCGAGTTGTGGGTGCGTGAGGCTCTTCTCGACGGCGATCTTGGCCGTCGACATCTGTCTTTCCTTAAGGCAATGATCTTTGTAGCACTTGGAGCAGAGATTAAGCGTTGTGGGACTCCCGAAGAATCCACAGTTATTCGCACAGAGGACGTGATTGGTTGCTTCCTGCCATTTTTGTTCCTCCGCCATATTGTGTCCGATTAGATCCCAAGAAATAGAGAGAGAGAGAGAGAGAGAGAGAGAGAGCGATCGATTGAGATTGAAATCAATCGCTCAAGTATAGAAGAAGGTGTGGGTGGAATCAGATGAAAAAATCCCAAAAAATCCTCAGAAATCTGGGGGGTTGTGGGGAGGAAGGGTAGAGAAATATAGAGGTTAAGGGAGGGTTAGGTGATGGCGGAAATGTAGGGATAAAGAAAAACAGGAATAATTGGTGGTCGTGGTGATGGTGGTGCGATGATGTGGTCATACCATTTTCGAACCTTCTAGGACCTTGCCTCCAATTTCCTTACCTTTTTCTTTTATTCTTTTTAAAAAATTTGATTAATTACATATATAAAATGGTAAATTATATGTGATTATGTATTAATCACATATGATTTCATATATCTATATCTACTAGAAGCGTACTCGCGCAATGCAGCGAGATACATCGTGTTTTTAATATTTCATTTTATTCTTTATCTCAGTCGATGTTATAATATGACTTTATGTGATTTTGAGAAAGCGATAATGTTTTTATTTTTGAATAAAATATATGTTTGACGATATCAAAAAATTTTGACAAAAATATATCGATATT